AGACCCGTTTTTGTTTTAAACCCATATTTAATGACTTGTAATATGTGGCACTGACTCACTTTCATTTACCAGGAAAAGAACAATTAGTTTCGTTTTTCCTGCATGGATTGGTAGTATGTCAAAGAGTTTGTTTGTATGTCAGTGTATCATTCTTTCAATAAGAGTGTTAAACTGCTGCACACAGCTGCCCTTAACTTGCCAGCTGGACACCAGACAACCCAGGCAGCAGCAGCTGGAAAAATGGACAGAATGTTCTAAAGAGGAAAGGCGAGCCAGTCTGTGAAGTAGAATGTCAGGCTTTTTAGACCAAACGTCCTCAGCCCCATTTTCCTGTTAATTTCGTGCTCCCTTTTTTCTTGCAGTAGGGAAAGTACCCGACCACTCCGATCTCCCCCACCTCCTCACCCCCTTGTCGCAGGCACGAGGTTCTGGCTGGCAGCTCTCAAACGAAGCAGCCCACAGTGGGGTGATTGTTCTCCACACCTGGCCCGTGTCACTCACTGCTACTACCTCCAACTTCCCCTTGGCTTTCACTTCACACCTGTCCTTTTCTCCAGCTCCATCGTTTTTTATTGCTTTCTCAGCTTTTGTCCTGCTCCCCTTCCCATCTGACTCGTGCAGACTTCAGGAATAAACAAAGAAGCAGAACCAAAAAGGGGGGAGAAATCGGGGGGGCAGAGGAAAGGGAGGCTGAGGTGAGATGAAAGGAACCACAGAGGAGTCTGTGTTTAGTGGGTTAGTGGAGCGTTGGCCTTCAATCATAGTGACTTGGACCACATTACCACCGCAAGCCTGCAGAAACCAGTTTGTCTATGATCTGACTTAAATCCAGTTTTTATCACTATGCTTTAAAGACTTTTTTTTTTTGTTCTCAATTCTCCACAGATGGAACAAAGACAGATTCAAACAGATTTCAGTTTTCTTTAGTAGAAAAAGAAAACCATCCCTTTCTGTTTCACTTCAGATCTTTCCTTTCTTGTATTCATATTGTCTGCAGAGCACATGCCCACTCCTCCTGTGTCATTCCCTCTGCCCAAGCACAGTGTAGTCAATGAGGGCTGTGTGTGTGTTTTTGTGTGCGCTCTCATCCTCCAACTCAGAATAAGTGGCACCAGACAGGCCTTATAAGGAGTTGTTAGATCACTGGCCACACCGTTAGTAAAACAGAACCATATGTGTGCTGTGTGTGTGTGTGTGTGTGCTTGTGCACAGGCCTATACCTAAAGTGTATGTGTGTGTTTGCGTATGTGTAAGTAAAACCATGTGTGTCCAGAGGTAGCTGAGAACGGGAGTCTGTTGCTAATAGACATGCTGAAGGTCACATTATATGGTCATGTTAAGCACACATACAGACTGTCTCTATTTAACCTGCTCTTGTCTGTGCGGTCTTACCCGTAAGGTGTGAAAGACAGATTTCAGATGTCGTACACACAAATTTTTACACACACATTCCTGCTGTGGCATGGATGTCGACCACGTTACATAAGGTGAACCGTCCGTCTAATGTGTGAATGATCAGCTAGTGGGCGGAGCTTATTTCTGCTGTCCTGTTCATCCTCTGATGGGTTTAGCAGAGGAGAGTGCTCTCTCTCTCTCTCGCTCTCTCTCTCTGTCTCCATCTTTCTTACACAGCTTGTCTGGAATGTACAGATGTTTCCTTTTGGGAACGGCGTCCTGGTCTGTTCACACACACACACACACACACACACAGAAAAGAGTGTGAGAGAGTGGAGCGCAGTCCCGCACATATCAATTCAGATTTCCCTTGCGGCAGATTTTCTTGTTTTTTATTTGTATTTGCTGAATTCGTAGCAGCTGGGAATAGAAATATCGATCAGCACCCTGATTGAACCTCTTGAGTTTTAATTTACAGCTTTCCTGCAGTCCAGCACCTTCTTTTTTTTTATCCCTATAGGCTACAGTGCTTTCTGTTCCCTTACAGCCTCTGGCTTTTTGTCTCCTGCTCCTTGGTCTTTTTCTCTCCCGATTGTCTCGCTGTTCTCACGTGCAGCCGTGGCTTTGCTTTGAAGGAATGCAAAGGAGACTGAAGCCACTTCACTGAGCCCATCTCCACTGCTTAACCAACCCAATTTTCTCATTTCCTTAGTAATTTATCTGATGGTTTCTCACTAATTTGAGCTCCAGTATAGAGAGTGTGGCATGCAAGGGTTTAGTTATAGAATGTATTGCAAGCAGCGTGTATTTAATGTATAGTAAATGTGAATTTGTACTATTATCATTGCAGTTTAATCAATAAATCATGCTCAGGATTTTAGAGAATCAGTGTTAAATAAGAAAAAATAAACAAATATTTTAGGTTACGTCTTTCACAGTTGTGTATTTTTCCTTTAGAGCGCTATAACACATTTTAGCTGTAAAATGGGCTACTGATGGGCTACAATTTTTTTGGTTGTAATTCATTAGTTGTTTATGTTATTAACCAGTATATTAGTTTCAGATTAACAAACACATTACTGGTTAGATTCTAGTGTGCATTTATACCAGGGACTTACAAGGAAATCATAAAATAGTTAATACAGGAGAAAACTTTTGGCAAATTTGTATCTGTGCAATTATGAAATAGATGTCTTGATTTGGGAAATTTCACATTGCTACACTCAACTAGGCTTGCTGGCTCTGAAATTTTGGCTCCTCGTCAGCACTTGTTCCATTTTTTCAGCAATAAAGAAGAAAAAAATGTGTGAAAATGTGTGAGTGGTTTGCCTAATTTGTGGAAGGGGAGACCTGACAGACACAAAAAAATATAAAGACAAAAACCAGCATCACACGCGTTGTTTTGAAGTGGTCTAAATTGCAATTCCTTCCTTATCAGTTCCAATCTATAAATCTAAGAATGTAAGAGAGGTATGGTTTTAGCTTAAAAACAGGCTTTTATTTCACATTGCCGTATTTAAAAATGTATCCAATTAATTATGAAACTCCCAGATCTAACAGTCTCACATCAATAAGCATGTTCTCATTCTTACAGAAGGCCTAAAACCAGATCACTTCTCATATATTGTTTGATAATTGAAAACCTCTTTTCCCCCAAGGCATGATTCGGGCCTTGACTTGGGTTTAAAGACGCACTCCAGTTGCACACATGTTTATTTTATTGATCATGCTTTCTGAAGTCAAATAAGTCGACCCCGCTGATGTCAACATCTTTGGCATCTGGGCTTCTGTCCGGACACCGGTGTTACAAAATAAGTACATGGAATTAGAAAAGAACACCATTTGTAAGGCAAGTGGGGAGATTTGGCAGATATTATTTTAGGGGCTCAGCTGATTTGAGTCATCATTTACTGAAAGTAACCGATTACTCAGTCACTTAGAAATGAACCCTTTTATGCAGCAGATATAATATAAAAATACATGTAGGCATGAATTAATCTATAAAATGTGACATAAATATTTTGGGCTTTATTTTCCTTTTTCCGTTAATTCCTTTATTTATTTGTTTTCTTATTAAATATCCATATTTTATTAACCAGTTTTCATATTTAATCTTCTTCTTTACTCATTTTTCTGTGACAGTTTCAATTCTTCATACTGGACTTGGTCTCTACCTCTAGATAAGACTGGCCGCATGCACAGCGAAGGCGTTTTTCTTCTTTCTGATCGTTAGGCTTTTTCTATCCAAGTAGTTTTCTAGCTTAAGGGTTTATCCTCTAAAGAACCTGTGTTCTGGAGCATCTTGTGTTATTCTTTAGTACCTCCAAATGTTTCTGGTTGTATTTATCTCCATCAGTGGATGTATGACCTAAGCATTTCCCTTCCTTTCCTTTTCTATTATTGCATTTCATTTCCAAGTCCTTGAGCAATCACATTGCAATGTAAATAGTTCTGTGTGTAGGCGTGTGCATTTAGTCAGCTTGCCCCCATTTTAAATATAGATATATTTGTTCCCACAGAGA